CATTTAGGATATGTCAGGATTCGTGTATTACGGAGTTTTAATGATATTCATTGAGTGCACCAGAGCCTCAAGCTCAAACCTAGTATCTACATCTGCCAGGACTAGTGTCTCTAATAACTCTAGTGTCTGCAGTGTCCTCAGTGCCTCCAGTGTCAGTCAACACCACTGATAGAACAGGGCTACCACCATGATGTAAGTCAGACCTCAAGTAGGTCCAAACCTGTTTACAGTTTTGCAGTAAATGACCAACAATTTTAGATGTACCTTATGTTTGGTGTGGCCTGTTGCAATTTGAACAATTTCCTCCAGTGATTGAGAAATAATGGTTGATGGATCGGGACTAGAGGCACAGGATGGGGGTGATAAATGTGAATTTACTGTAGCTACAATGCCCTTAAAAATTTCAGTTCTGTCACTGGCATGGAGAAGCTGAAATAATATTCATACAATATTATGAATAGACCATGTAAATGCATGCATTGACTGACCAATTTCAAAAAGAGTAAGACTTTTGCCCAGTTTTGTGCAGACCTACCAGTAGCCTTTATGAGTTTCCTGAGGTTATTTAGAGCAGAATTGGAGATATTATTGCTCAAACTAATTATTCATCTGATTAACTGAGATAATTGGGAAGGCTCGTCGCCATCTGAAGCAACCAGTTCTTCAAGTTCTTCAAAAGAAGCAATATCTTTTTCTGAAACTGGAGCAACAGTGGTTTGTTGAAAGGCATGACTACCATTCTTGTAGTCACTCTGTGAAAGGAAAATAACTTAGCCACCAGATCTAATAATTGTTTGCATCCAACAACAAACCTTTCTTCAGTGCTCAGCTTAAAATTACTTGCTATGAGCATACCAGACACAGGAGTGACTTTCTTTGTTGAGGAGATTCGCTGCCTACAAAAAAAACAACCACGAGATCATTAATCTTTCCAAAACTGTGTGGGTCATCCATGGCAAATAGTAAAGTTGACTCTGCTGATCTTTGAATAAAAAATGACTGGGTACCTCTCTCATATAGGGAACTGCTGCAACCTTCAAAATAAAGACAAAGGTGATTTAATTGTGACATGGCAACTGACAATGATGTGGATTTTTCTGTTTCAGAGTCCACTAGAGCAACAATTGTAGGGCAGCCACCCATTTTACTCAGAACTGAATAGTGTACCAGCATTAGCAACCCACTTACAACAAGCAGTGAGCTGTGAAAATTGTGCTTCATTGTACACTCTAAACAGAATACCAGTCGTGCTATCAAATTGTGATCACCATTTAATGGTAGTTATATCTTAGGGACAATTTCTGAGATGTTCGACATTGCCCTGTTCTTCCAGATATATCTATATGACCCTTCTGATAGTACTTCACCATCTGATTATATTTGAAGAGTAGGTCCTAGAACCCAAGTCTTGCCACAAGGCTGGAGACCGATTACCTTTGCTGCTTTGCAAATGCTAATACCAGTGGCTGACTGCTTTAGAAAGTGTATAAAGGCAATAAACTGTGCCTCATTGAAAGATATGCTCATGCCACCGCTGTCGAAAGAACTATTTATTTGACTAATGAACTTGCATCTCCACATTGTTGACTCTATTGTAAAATAACATCTCCTATATTAGAATAAAAATTAAAAACCTAACATTACCAAAATGAACTAAATCTAAGATTGTCTTTGTATTTAGTTTTATCAAAAATTGTAATAGAAATTGAGGGTGATTTCAAAGCCATTTAAAAAATAGCAAAGCTAGTCAGTTTCAATTTTTTTTAAATTGAATGGCCATTGCTTTCAATTTTGCACGTAAATGTAATAAGCCCACACATTTACCAAAGGAAATTTCACCGACCTGACTTCCTTATCAAAGCATCTCTTTACTTTACAAACGTATCCAGTATTACTATCAGCTTCTACAAAATACTCCAGCTTGATGGTGAAATCTCCTTTGCTCTCCTTGCATCTCTCTCTAATTATGCCATTTTCCCAATCGATGTAAAACTGAAAATGCAAATAAAAGCAGCTTTATACATGAAGTATTATGCTCTCTTAAAAAACAGCACAAGTAATAATTCAATTTTGATAGTTTTCATGTTGAGGTGCAAAATCAATTGTAAAGGTCAATGAATGATTTATGTTCAAAATGCAACCAAAGCATAGATATTAGAGTACAGGAATGAGATTAGAAACCACTGTTCGCGGCAGGAAATGCTAGTTGTCAATCCGTATTGTATTCAAATTAAATTTGAAATGAAATGAATAAAGTGAATTGAAGACATCATTATACCAAGAGTAGATGATAGAGAGTGTGGAACTGCACTATGCTAGCTGAAATATGACCGCGTAGAACTTTCTTGCTCATCTTTGGGAATTCCCACATACTGGGTGTGGCTGAGAAGAATAAAATGGCTGCCTAGTTTGCTCAACAAGGTTTAATGGCCGTTTTGGAGTCTCTGCTGTAGCTATACTGCATAACAGGCTTCAGCAGGATTATAAAGTGTACTAGTATGATGTCTAAAGCTTCTTCAAGTGTTCTCCACTGTTCCTTATGCAAATTTCTACACGTGCTTTTAGTAAGTACACCCACGCTTCAGGTCTCACGTGACTTAGTTCTACGCTGTCATATTCCAGCTCGCATAATGCAGTTCGACACTCTCTCTAACTATCATCTACTGTTGATTATACCTTATTGCCCTCAGCATATGGGTGATGTATTTATATATGGAGTTTGAGAGCTGTAGCATCTATTGTGATTGACTTAAGGGTACAAAACAAAACTAGTTTTTAGAACAGTTTTCAGCTCATAACTTTTTAACACTACATTGATTTTCTTTTAAAACCTACCATTGCCCTCGAGTTTGATGTTATTTAGTCGCTTATAAGCCTAACAGCAAGATCAGTTCAATACCTTATAAGTAAAGGGTACAAAACTAAAATGCAGTCAAGGGCAACTTCAACCAGGACTATTCACGGCACTATTAAAAGGTCTTCTTTAGTTGTAATACACAAAAACTGATATCAATAGATACAGTAGGTCTTGAACTTTTCAAGTAGCGTATTACAAGTGCTCGCACTGATACTCATCTAGAGTTATGAACAGTGAAGTGCAAGGCCTTCTTCCATTTTGCCCACTTTGTGGGGGCAACTTGTATACGTTGCTAGGATACGCATCATCTACATGTAATATTTCCAGTGGTTTCCAATCTCTTTTCTGTACTCTAAAGCCCCGTTTACACTACAAACCAGTTTGGATCAAAGCAGTTCAGAAACCAGCTTAATTGTGTCCACACGTAACTGTGGTTGAATCGGTTTACAATGCTAAATTGCATACATAATACAGCTGTAAATTGTCCACACGTAAACTGTTTTATTTCTAAACCGGTTTCAAACCGCTTTTGAGGGCATATTGTAAATGGGGCTTAATATCTATGACCAAAGTCTTAATTAATTACCCCCCCGGACTAAGTGCTAAAACTAATGCCTATGTATAGTTTATTGCAATTTGACTATCAATGTCATATTATAAGTCTTGGTATTTAATTATAATTCTAAATAAATAATACAAATACAAAATGATTCCATAGACACTGACATCATACCATGCAAAGAATTAATACAGGCTATGTGAAATGTTAAGGTGGCCTTGGTTTACACTTATAGACTTGCTTAAAGTATTTCAAATGATTATTTCTAATTGAAATAAAGCGAAGTAAATTTGCATTTAAGTGTAAAATAGTGGCATGCATGCATGATTACATGCATGCACATCACCTTAACTGAGTAAACTATAAGCACAAGGCATAATGACCACTACAACTAGATTAATTATGCAATATTCAATGGCATCACTCATCACTACTGAGGATTTCCTTGTAAAATTCAGGGATATTTAGGATGACATGAGTTGTTCCTGCCACTTCAGTGCAACTAGCAGTCCGCTGTGGCAGCATCAAAATCAATAAGATGTTGCCCATGACTGAATACTAAAATTGAAGTATCTAGCTAAATTTCAATACTTCGACAAAGGCCATGGACCAGCACTCAATGCAATACATGTATACAGTGACCGGCTGAATGCACGGAGACGGCCGGCCAGCCAGCAAAAAGTCAGAGGCTACAGTTATAATGCATTCCTTACCTTAGGAACTTTAGTATCTCTAGAGTCTTGTTCAGACCTTACTTCTGCCATATCAGAGCCAAAAATAAAGTATTACCAGCGTCAGACAGAACTTCTTCTATCTCAACTCGCCAAGCTCACGTTGCAGTTTTACGGCAATGCATGTGCATTATTAATTCTGGCCCCGCCTTTACCAGACTTAGGTAGGTAGCTAAGGCTAGGATCTATAAAAATAATATGGTATTTTGCTTTCTCCTCCAAGAAATAATGTAGAATAGCTTCTTGTTGTCTTCAACACAAAGACTATAATGCCGATTGCTTCACACATAAGGAACACAAATAATTATGATCACTTCTAAGCTTCACAATAGCACTGCTTTATTGTCGTAATTATGTAACACTTTAGTGCTCACTACACAGCTATAACAAAATAGATGCATGGTTCAAGTAATATCTGTATGAACTGAATGGCTTCAGCAAATATTTCTAAGGTATCGCAGTACATGGTATCAGTTAAAGTACAGCAATAAAGCAATTGCATTGCTGGTATAGGCAATAAGCATGTGTTAGAGATTAAGCTATAATCTGAATTTAAAAAACACTTTAAATTATTCAAATAAATAATCAGTTGGTTATAAGTTATAAATGTTCATTATAGTATAACATCAAGTATTAACTCTTTTGGGTATGTCACCATGAATCTAAGTCAGAAATAGAGCACAGGAGGAGCAACTAAAAATAATAATGATAAAAATTATGTAAGCTCTGTCTTATGAAATACCAATATACGAAGACTTACCATATTTAAAATTAATTATCAATCAGACTGACTACAAAAATTTCATCCAGGATAAGAAAGATGACATCACCTAAGATATCATTGCTTTCTTCCTCTCTCTTTAAAGTACTGTTGACTGTGTAGTTTAATACTATATAAATTCCATACTAAAGCACAAATTTAATTGTTCAGTCAAATGCCAGAGAGACTTATGTATGCAGGAGATTGCTGTAATTGTAGGAAAAAAAGGTACAAAAGAAAAAAAATGCAATCTAGTTTTAATATTAGAAATGATGGATAAATAGCAAAGGAAACAAGCAGGATACATACAAAGTGTGTATGTATGTGTGTGCATAATAGTGTATGCTATAAAATTTGCATCAAAAATAATTTAGACATATTTACTATAATTCATAAACAAAAAAAATAATGTTATAGTTACATGTGTTTCACACATTACTTACACAAAATATCAAGCGCAGATTGCCTTAACACAGTCTTTGTGACTTTGATAAGCCTCCGGTCATTCCAATTAGAGCAAATGTATGAATTCAACCTCTACCGTATTCCTTATATATACCATAAACCTTACTTAAGAATATTAAACCTGGAAAGTACAAGATAGAAAGTAAATGAAATAGGTTAATTATGTACATTAGGCCTGGGCGATAGTAGTAATATCACTGTCACGATATTTTCTAACTCTAATATCATGATAGTGAACATATGACAATAGTTCAGCCATAGGATTTATATGTGGAAATACAATGATTTATTTAAGGATGTATTGTCATTGTACTTAACTAATGCATCTATTAATTTGTATAATCACATTATACATGCATGATATACTTGTTAATTTAAATTTATTTAATCCAAATTTTTAACGAGAAACACTGTCCCACTTCACATGCTGCTAATATAGCAGAGACAGGGAAAAACCTTGAAGCAAGCTGTGCCAGCAAGTCATACCACTCTCAAGTGGAAGTTGCTATCAAATTAGAAGATGATTACAGCTGTCAAGTGTCATTTATGCACATGCTCCATGCACACTTGATAACTATCATGAGAGTTAGAATAACAGTATCACTATCATGATAGCTGTAAACTATCATGATAGTGCAACTATTGATACTATCGCCCAGCCCTAATGTACATGTATGTACCATCAATGACTTTCTTCCTAGGTATAGTGATAAAGGAAAGGTCACTTTAACACATAGTCTTTGTGGTTTTGATAAGCCTCTGGTCGTTTCAATTGGAGCAAATGTATGAATTCAACCTGTACCATATTCCTTATATATACTATAAACCTTACTTACGAATATTAAACCTGGAGAGTACAAGATAGAAAGTAAATGAAATAGGTTAATTATGTACATGTATGTACCATCAAGAGTGGATAAGGAGGAGGGGAGAGTGTCTAACTGCCCTATGCTCCTAGTGATATGTGCGCGTAGAAGTTTCATGGTTATTATTTGTACATTCCCGCATACCTTATTTAGCACAATAAGTGATAACTGCACTGAAGCCATAGTTGGGCGTGTACTTAAGTTAACTGTAATATAAAAATGGCTGCTGAACTGAGCAGCAAGAGACCATACAGAGACCTTGGAAGCAGAATTTGACCTCACCTTGTTGTACCAGTCACTTTGTACCACTCTGCAGAGATTTGTAGTTTCCAAGCACACAAACCATGTTTGTTATTGACACATGAAAAGCTCTTGATCAATGATCATCCTTCTTTAGTCTGGTCCCTTGGGACCCACATCAAGAGTAAGGATAATAATAGAAGTGAAAGAATATGTGGTACATGTACTTTTGAGACGGGCTGTTAACTGCTGTTGATCTTAAAAACGAAGTATTACAGATCTGAGTTCACTGGAGCAGAGGCTTCTGACTCTTGACTTCATGTCCTCTTTCTTGATGCTTTAGGGCGCTTAGGTGTAGTGGCATGACGCTCATCAAGATCAGATGCTCTCAATCTGTTGTAACAGGCATGATCATCTGGATTGTGCTGTAGTTCTGACTATTCCTCTTGAAACATCGTGACTACACGTGTGGGTGGGTGCACCATATAGGTAATTAAAAACACACCCATTTACTATCATGGCTGTTGATGTTTAAACAGGTCAAAGAAGGTGCTAAACAAACTGTGAAAGACTTCTACGCGCACATATCACTAGCAGCATAGGGCAGTTAGACACTCTCCCCTCCTCCTTATCCACTCTTGGTACCATCAATGACTTTCTTCCTAGGTATGGTGATCAAGGAAAGGTCACTTTAACACATAGTCTTTGTGGCTTTGATAAACCTCAGGTCATTTCAATTGGAGCAAATGTGTGAATTCAACTATAATACTATCATTTTCTGACATGTTTTTACATGAACGTTGTACATCAACAAAATTACTTTTACAAATAATAAGAAAAAAAAGCATAACTTTGACACTACATGTAAAACAAAATAAGCACACATTTTTACCAAAGTAATTTTTACATTGCAATGCATGTGTAGTAGTACGTACTAATTGACTCACTTTCTGCATATAATTTGATTGCAAATAAACAAAGCCATGTACCCATGTCTTCGGACATGTCCTAAGTTTGCAGCCTGGCCATTAACTGTGCTCAAATGAAAGAATCTCAATAAAGTAATTATCTGAGTGAGTGGCATTACCTTATAAGTTGAATTTCATGAATAGATTTTTGAAGAGATCTGGTTGTTCCAGCAAACAAGCACACTATTGCAATGAGCAATGAGAGTGTCTTGTAGAGTAGGCAATCTGACTGCGCCGTCTGTAGTAAAGAAAAGTGGAATAACAAAACAAATAAGGAAAATGAAAAAATGAAAGTACGTTGAAGGTTCATCAATATATGTCAGAAAGTACAATAAAAATTGAGGCTAAATTGGTGGAAAAACCATGGACTATAGTACTGGGTATTTTTTAAAAGATTTTGTTATACACTTTTTAAAAATGACATAACTTTAAAAACAGTTGGGCTCATCCCAAACTTTCTGCATAGCATAAGCTACAAGTTGTGTCTCTTTGATACTTATCTACTCCACACAGTATACATAACAATGTGTTGACTAACATCATCCAACAAAGACTGCAAGAACTTGTGAGATATAGTCACCACCTCCCGTCTCTGCTGCAGATGAGAAGAGAGTAACAGAAACTTGAGTCTCTAAGCTGTTGTATTCTGTTTCAGTACCTATGTTGACAGAGGGGAAATGAGAAGGAGGCAAAAGGAGGGTCGGTCTGAGAGCAAGAATTGATGTGTAACTCTTATCTCTTGGTTTGCTTGAACATTACTGTAAAGAAACTACTCTGGGTGCATGTCACACCTGCAATTTTTGTCATTTCTCAGTTGAATCAGTTCATGTGAAATGCTATTAAAAGCTCAAAACTTAGGTGACATGTCAAGTCAAAAAAATCATGAAATAAAAGATTAATATAAATGTAGCTTACTTACTCAAATGAATGAATGATCCTGCTATTTTGATTACTGGCCAGACCAGGATTAATTTTTCATTCTATAAGAAAGGAAACAAATAATGATAGTAACACACAACAATTGATAACTTCTTACTAATCAATTGAGAATACTTTCCTCCTTTAAACAATAATAGTTGCAGATTTCAATCATAATTAATTCATGATTGAAGTTTCTATTCATTCAGAAACAAAACAAATACTATGTTCAATTTTGATAATTGAATTAAAGTGATACTATTGTGATTCAGTATCAATACAAATATGATCCTATTTTTAAAAACTTTTTGTTTCAGGACCTTTCATGATTGAAGTTTCTATTTATTCAGAAACAAAACAAATACTATGTTCAATTCTGACAATTGAATTAAAGTGATACTATTGTGATTCATTATCAATGCAAATATGTTCCTGTTTTTTAAAACTTTTGTTTCAGGATCTGCAATTCCCACATTTAAAATTTTCTAAATTAATCGATGCTGTGAGCAATAGACGCTTGGCACATGACTGATGAACCCATGTACAACATTCGATACATTCAACCCATTCTACATCAGTCTCCTGGTTGTGCTCGTCATCAGAATTGAAACAAATTGAATAGACTGTGACATCAATTAGGCTTAAATGTGACTTGATTGAGGCCTGTTCTTTGCTATCTGGCTTTCTAATAGCTTTTGTAACTTCGGTCCTTCTTTTTTTAGTTGAATAAAATTTTTTTGTGTTACATTATTTGCATTTGGTGCTGGGCGCTTTCTAACAGTTAATGGCTGAGGTAATGCTGGCATTTGCAACAATGTCATTATTGTAGTTAAATGGCTATTAATCTCTAATAAATTCTGCCCTGAGCTTTTGATTAACATATCTTCCAATTCATAATATCTTTTTAATACATGCTCTTTGCTAATAGTTCCCATGGATGAAAGCACTGATGATCCTGGTCCTGCTGAACTGATGCAAGTAGCAACATTGACAGGCTGGGAAACATCATCACACTCAATTGAATGATATACATTAGATTTTGTACATGTAGGCTGTTGGTGAATACAAAGCAGGTGAACATGCTTACAAATAGTGAAATGCATTACAGCATCCATACAATTACAACTAAACATGTGAATACAAATGTTACATTCATCACAGTGCAGCTTACATGACAAATTACATGCACTTGCAATCTTTTCAACAATGTACCACTGGTCAGGAGTAGACTCAGACTGAACTTTCCAGCTGTCACCATCATTTGACTGAATGTCAATACCTTTTTTATTAACAGTAACAGTAGAACTATGTCTTTTTTGTATTTCTTAAAGTTTGTGTGATCTCTTACCAATTTCCTCCTTCCTCAAAAAGTTAAAGACCAAGTCTCGATTTATTTTAAATAAAACATGGAGGAGATGATCAAGGCATCTGTTTTGCTTATGCTGTAAATACTCAATCTTTAAAACTCTATAAAAAGCTTCAACGGCCATGTTAATGCCTATGGATGCATTAATTCTATGGCATGTTGCCCACTGAGTGCTTTTAGTTGCATAGGTGGCTTTCATGTATTCATAAAAGCGTGGATGCTTTTCTTCAAAATAAGACATTGCTTGTGATAAAAGCACCTGAAAGTCAGTAACGCTAGTCTGATTGAGCAGCACTTTTAGCATGTGATAGACCTCTGCCTTTTGCTCATCACCTGGCACATGAGCATGTATTGCTTTCTTCCATGCACGGTCTACATGCCAGATTCACAATAACTTTTTTTTCACCGGTCCAAAAACACGACACCAGGCTGTGTGGTATTGCTCAGCATCATCGCTCATAAAATATTCGAGGCCAATGTCACCTTCACTTCATGCAGGTGTTTAAAAACCTGAGACAATAAAGAGGTGTCTTCTCCATTTGAAATGCACCATGCTCCTGGTACACCTTCACCATAGTCATCCAACACCATTACTGTGAATCATACACATTAGTGCCATGAGTTGCATCAACACAAACAACTCTACCATTACCTGCAAACTTTTTCATGGCATCGCGTTGAAATTCAGTTTGTATGGCTAAAATAAAACTTTTTTCTTCTAAATCGTCAGTATGACCAACTACAGAATCTTTTCAACCCTGTGGCTTAAACACTAAAACTGGGTTGTATGGTTGAGTGAGGGCTTCTTGTACCCAAATGGCTACACTAGTCTGATCATTTGCATGTTTTTGGATGTTACTTAGGTTAAGTACACATTCTATATTTGTAATGTATTGTCTCACTATTAGATGCTCATGTTTCATACCCTCATTCAAGGAGACATCACGAATGCTGTCTAGAATATTATTTATGGAAACACCAGCTTGTAGCTGGCTAGCAATCTTAACTCTAGAACTATCAGGGAGTCTAATGTGTGCCTACTCTTTTTTGTGACCACAGTGTGTGCTGTCATAGTTTACCTTACAATTTCCACTAGCCATGTTTTGTTCCACTTTTATGTGAGCTACACAAATAGCGCCAATCTTTGATGTTTCTTGCATTTTGCAACTTCTGGCACCCGATTTCCTGCCCTTTCTGGATTTTTCAGACTTATTACAATAAAAATAAGTATGCTTAACAGACTCTTTCACAACACTTCCTCCGTGCATAACAAAATTGGAGGAAGTGCTTTCCTCTTCAGCAGATTTCCAACGGGAAAAATCGTCATAACTTCCAAACGTAAGCTCTGAATGGTCCATAGATAGAGAATGAATTTCTTTGATGTGAGTTTCAATAGAAGTGATGCGACAGAACCTACAAGAATGGAAAATCCAACAGATAATGAAAGCAATACAATTAAT